TATAAAAGGGTTACTGCTGCCCATAGCCTCGCTCTGTTCTGTTCTATCTACTGTTATTAAAGAGTTGAAGTCACTGGTCAGATGTCTGGTCTCCATTATTCTCCAAACATAACAGCAAGCAAGTGCAGGGCTCGGTCGGAAGAACCGGGCTTCAGAGGGAGGCTAGGTTCTAGGTCCGGGACGGCCACGTAGAACTGAACTGAACCGAGCCACGTGCCTTGGAGAGCCACAGCTGCACTCACCCGCATCCTGCGTGCAAGCCCGGCTGGCTGGAGAGGCAGAGGCCGGGCAGGAGCTGCGCGCTCCCTTGTTCTCCTCTGGGGAAGGGGACCCTAACACCGGACCACCCACCCCTTCCACTGCTCACCTTGGGAGAGTTTTGCTTTCAGGCCTTCTGGCACATCTCTGCTGCTTTCACCGGAGAGGGCAGCCTGCAAGCTAAGGCGCCCTCTTTCTGCCACCTCCCACCTCTCCCCCCCCCAGCCTTGGCAAGGCTCACCGCGTGCGGGTTCTGCATTCGAGGCACTGGCTATGAAACAGTCAATAGGCTGTGTAGCCAGCAGTCAGTGAGCCTGTGGGGCCGGTGCCTCAAATGCCTCCCTGCTGGCCCCCTTGCCTCTTAGTGCCCCCCTAAGGCATCCCACTGCCCCCCAGGGGGCGGTACCGCCCACTTTGGGAACCACTGCTCTAAAAGGAAGAAGGTGGGTGGGCATGGGTGGGGCCATCCAATTCAAATCGTCCCTACCACCTCTCCTGAGGTGGTGCGAAGTAGTTGAATTTCACCCCTGAACAAAACCCAGGTAGTGTCAGGATTCCGGCAGTTACCCCAACTAAATCATGAGTCTCGAGCCAAACTTCCAAAACAATTCATTGGGAGTTAACATGTCCGGCAGTTGCCAGTTAGACCATTTTATAGCAGTGTACTTGTAATTAAATGTTTTTTAGTTACCACATGTTCACATCAGTTTAAAAGATCTGAAGTTTCTCAAAGGCAAGCAAAAATTAGATTCATATTATTTGAACTGCTGAGTGAGTTTTAAATCCAAAATGAGCCTATGTGATAAATCAAAGAAGAGGGATCTTACTCAGATAGGTAGGCTAGAAAAGGCAATATATGGCATGCTAAACTACAGGTAGTCCTCAACTTACGATTATAATTGAAACCCAAATTTCCATTCCTAAGCGAGACAGTTGTTAAATGAGTTTTGCCCCGTTTAATAACCTTTCTTGCCACAGTCGCTATATAAATCACTGTAGTTGTTAAGTTAGAGACAAGTGTATCTGGCTTCCCCATTGACTTTGCCTGCCAGAAGGTCACAAAAGATGATCACATAACTCCGGGACACTGCAACCATTATAAAAACATGCCAGTAGCCAATCATTCAAATTTTGATCACATGACCATGGGGATGTCGTAAATGTGAAAAACAGTCATAAGTCACTTTTTTCAGTGCAGTTGTAACTTTGAACAGTCACTAAACGAATGGTTGTAAGTCAAGGACTACTTGTATAAATTACATAAAAATTCTGTAATTGAAGTTCCAGTGACATGCTGTTGTGGAAAGCTCTGCTTACAACATAAAGTACCGAAGGAAAAAAAGTATAAATTCCCAAATTTTCTATGCTGTAGATGCCTACATATGATCTTGTTTGATTTACATTTTGTGGTGCAGTAATTTGATCATGTTAGAGGAATATTGAACTAGCTCAAATCAGGAATAATAATACTTATTTTTATTTTACTGTTCAGATTCTAAGCCCAAACTATCTGCGGATTTTGAGGATCTCTTATCTGGTCAAGGTTTTAATGCTCACAGAGACAAAAAGGGTCCCAGAACAATAGCAGAGATGCGAAAAGAAGAAATGGCCAAAGAAATGGATCCTGAAAAATTAAAAGTAAGCATTGGGAGAATAGAATGCAAAATTTAAAATAAAGTTTTGAAGATGTATTAGGATGCAATATTAATTATGCATGCCATTCATAAATAATGTCAATATGCTACAACAGCTTCTCAGGATTTTATTTTTATTTTATTTATTTATATTTATTTATTTTTGTCAATTGCTTACAAGATAATAGGTATAAGTAAAACATAGTTATGAATACATGGATACATATAAGAAAAATAAATAAAGAAATAATAGGACAGGGATGGTAGGCAAGTTGGTGCTGTTATGCATGCCCCCTACAGACCTCTTAGGAAAGGGGTGAGGTCAATAGTAGACAGTCTAAGGTTAAAATTTTTGGGGTTTGGGGAAGAAACCACAGAGTCAGGTAGAGTATTCCAGGCATTGACCACTCTGTTGCTGAAGTCGTATTTCCTGCAATCAAGTTTGGTGCGATTAATCTTGAGTTTGTATCTATTGTGTGCTCTTGTGTTGTTATGGTTGAAGCTGAAGTATTCATTGACAGGTAGGACATTGCAATGTATGATTTTATATACTATACTTAGATCGGACCAAAGGCGGCCTAGTTCTAGGTTTTCTAGGTCTAGAATTTCGAATCTGATGGCATAAGGTATTCTGCAACAAGTAGAGGAGTGGAGAACTCTTCTTGCGAAATATTTCTGGACTTTCTCAACTGTGTTAATATTAATATTATAGCAAATGTTTTGTATGCTCTAATTATTAGTGTAATACTACCAGAGAAAAAGCTATGTAAGATTAGGTTAACAACTCTTAACGCTAGGATGTTTTCAGTTGTGTGTTTTTTCCCTTATAATTTCAAAATGTTAACATCTACATGGTGACAGTGATTGTAGAAATGAGGGAATAGAGAATCCCACTGAGATATTCCTGCTTCAGGAGAGTAGTTTGGGATTTCTATATGATGAAATAATCATGTTTTTTTTTTCTAGAATTTTGAAACAGTCTAAGCAAGTTTAGTCTAATATAGAGTTCCCCAACCTTTCCGGATTGGTGGCCTGGAGGGGGAAAAGGGGGATGGTTTTGTTGGAAGGGCAGGCACATGTGCGCCCATGTGGCCATGAATGCCCATGGCATGCATGGTGATGCTCGCGCGTTGGGCCGCAAGTGCCTGGAATGAGGTTCACACAAGTGGGGTTGCGAACACCAGCATCGAGGCTCATGCAAACATGGCGATGCTTGCACAAGTAGGGCATGTATGTGCACTGGCCGGCCACTCATGTGGCCCAGTGGTGATTAGGCCGTAGCCCAATAGAGGGCTGCGGTCCACAGGTTGGGGACCTCTGGTCTACCATAAGAGGACTAATTACATCCACCTGTTTAGCTGTTTGATTCAGGATTATATCTCTCTACACAGATCCTTGAGTGGATTGAAGGGAAGGAGAGAAATATAAGAGCACTGTTATCTACCATGCATACAGTGCTATGGGAAGGAGAAACGAAATGGAAAACTGTGAGCATGGCCGATCTTGTAACTCCAGAACAAGTGAAAAAGGTTTATCGGAGAGCAGTACTTGTTGTTCATCCTGATAAAGTAAGAAACAATGTCTTGGGATTCATGTCTTACAAAACTAATTTTCTAGCTCTGTGTATTGCTGCAGGCAACTTCAGTTACACAAACAACTCTACGTTGCTGTTACCATTATTACTTTAAAATATTAAAATCTTCTACATGAGAGGTTTGTTTCTTGGGATGTACGATGTATTGTCAAGTGTGATTCATCTTGATAATCTTTCATTCATACTAGATCTACACAGCCCAGAGAAAAGACTTGAAATTGATTATCCTATTAGGACAGGGGTGTGAAACACAAGGTCCACGGGCTACATCTGGCCTGCAGGATGCTTAGATCTGGCCCGTGGAACCACCCTGGAAACAGCAAGGGACTGGCCCGTGGTGCCTCTGCCACGAAAATGGAGCCTGAAGGGCTGCACGAGCTGTTTTTGCTGGTAGAGGGCTGCAGGAGGCCGTTACAGCCAGACACGGAGCTCGGGAGCCCGTTTTCACTGACAGAGTGCTCAGGCCTCCATAGGCAGCCCCGCTATGAATGACGTTGAGCTGGCCATGCCCACGCTGGCCGCACCCACTTGACACCTCCCCCCGAGGTCAAACACCACCCTGATTCAGCCCTCAGTGAAATCGAGTTTGGCACCCCTATATTTGGAGGAGAAAGAGAGAGATGGTTTGGGTGTGAAATCTCAGGATAATTTGCAATATTTTTCTTTTCAATGTTAACGTCTAAAAAGTTCCAATAGGTTTCGTTTAAGCAGAACAAAAATAGATTTTTTGCCTTTTAATCTTCACAATGATTTTTTTTTATTAAAAAAGTGTGATTTGAAAAACTAATAGTCCCAGATTAGAAATAAATACATAAATCCCTCCACAGATTACTAGGATTAAGGTTTGATTTTGTGATAAGCAACATTTTTCTGCCAGTTAAGGTTACATTGATTGGCAATCATTAGCTAGCTAAGAAGAGTGTTCTATATTGCAAGTATTTCTTTAGAATAAATGAACATGTACAACTTATATCAATCCCACTATAAACGGATCCGTGCAGCATTTATTTTATTGTCATTTCTTTGTTGCTTTGATTAGTAAGACTTTCCTGAAATAATCAAACTTGATGCAGTGTTACACAAATGAATAATATACCTCCGTGGTTTGATTTGTTTCAAAAACAAGACTTAGCCTAACTATCTGTTCATTTGTCATGGAATAAATCTATGGGCTTATCTGCACTGCCTGGTTTTCCAACTCTTTTTGGAGGACAGAAATAGACAAGGTCACCCTCACCGAATCCTCACCCATTTCCCCAGTGACCTTGGGGCTCTGCTTCTGAAGTAGACTTTTCCTATTGCCTTGTCTGGAGGGGGTCCTGTCAGTTTGAATGCTTTAGTTGGCTTCAGGTTGTCTTCATACTTCATGGGGCACTTTTTGAAGGAAGGAAGGGCTTCAGCTGAGACAATGCTTAGTATTCACCCTTAAATCATTTAAACCTTTCTGCTACTGTAACTGAAGCAATACCATAATCAGTATTACTCTTGCCTTAAAAGTCAAATTTTACTGGTTCATGCCCCAGCAGAACATTTTAAAAAATTATTCTCTCTCTCTCCAACACACACACACACACCTCTCTTACTTCTTTGACTTCATTATATATTTTTTATAAAATGCCGTTTCACCATTTCACCCATCACCTAAAAACCTTTTCACCTGAGGTGACAGGTACAAAGCTAAGCCCTAGACTTAGTGTATGTTTTTGTTTTTAATTAAAAGCCCATGGAGAAAAATGGATGTCAGCGTTCCAAGTAATGCACCCATAGAAACTAGAACTCTGAGGCAGGCAAATTCCTCAAAGAACAATTTATTGGATACATCATATTGGCACAGCTGGTGAAAGCCGACTCTGAAAGTTCCCACAAATTTCACTTAATTAAAAAGTAAAAGTCCCCCCTCTTTCCCCAAGACACTGATCACACTGTCCAATCACGGTGCTGGCTGGTTGCTTGGTTACTTCACTCCTCCTCTGGCCAGCCACCTGTTACGATATCCTTGGTTCCCACAGGAAAACTTCTTTGTTTTTGCTACAAAACCCCATCTAGCTATTTCCCCCCTCCCTTTCCCTTATTCTGCTTTGTGGCAATCCTGAAGTCTCCAAGATGGCCTCAGCCGGGTTCACTTCAGGTTTGACAATGGATTTGCCAAAGCAACCCCAAATTTCTGTTGGATATTTCTGTGTGCATGTACTTTTCAAATAGATCTTTGTACTTATTGAAACCTATTTTTTTTTTTTTGCTTTCCTTCCAGGCTACCGGACAGCCATATGAACAATATGCAAAGATGATTTTTATGGAGCTCAATGATGCTTGGTCAGAATTTGAAAACCAGGGTCAGAAGCCTTTGTATTAGCATTCCTCCTCAGACGTTGCTGTAGATCTGTGCTAGTGCTTGTATCGTTCCCTGCCACATGATTTTCACAGCTGAACTGATGTCTGGCTGGAGATGTAAAAGTATTAATACTAGCCCGATTTAAAAAAAATACTCTTCATGGAAAAGGAACAGAAAAGAAGGCTGATCCTTATGAATTACAGATGCAAAAAGAAAGGAGTTTTTGGGACTGATTTATAATGTTCTTTCAGATTTAAACAGGCATTCTAGTAAACTAGGATTGTTTGCCTTGAAACAAGTGAAATGAAATTGTTTCTTTGCCTTTAGCAAAAGGGACTCTGTACCATTTTGGATGTGGCTTGATTTTGAAGTTTGTATACAGAACTAACACAAAGTACGGTACATCTTCATTCATATGCAGTTATTTAAAACACTCTCTTTCTTATCCCAATTGGCCCTTAAACTGTTTGTTTTATTATATTTTGAATATGTCAGATAAATAATTGGATTATATTGCTGGTAACTTATTGCAGCCTTAAGCATAGCATTGCATTTCAAGTCTGAGATTTAAGCAGACATTCTTCACCATAGTTGAATTGGGAGTTGCATCTTTAAATAATCTATTATGTTAAATCAGAAACCTCTTGGAGATGGTATCAGTAGCACGCTGTGTTGACTGTTCTGCACTAATAGAAAACTGAGGGTGTGATTATATCGCAAGCTTTTAAAATTCCCCATTGAGATATATTATCTTCTTACATACAGATGAATCTTTGACTTTTTCTTTAATTATGTTCTTCCAAAATTTTAATCGAGTTCAATTAAACATACGCTTTCCAGATAATTTTTAAATACAACCTGAGTGCAACAAAAGCTCACCTTCTAAGCCTCTGGAAATAATTTATTTTATAACTTATTCAAATCTTACCTACAATAGATATATTGGCTCAAAAAGCAATAAAATACAAACATCTGTATGGTACCTATGAAGATAAAAGTGATTTTTTCCCACCTTCTTACAAAACTCATTTTACATAGTACTCTTTCCACAGAGAAACACGTAATGTCGATTTTATTTAGGGGCATTACCTGAATGGGATCCAGTCATAGGCAATTGTGCATTTTATTTTTCCTCCTAAACAACTGTCATTAAGTCAGTTTAAGTCAGGAACAACCGTGTAGACCTGGACTGAGTATTATTGATCCTAAAGAGACTTTTGAAAATTGTATTTCTCATTTATTGAATGTAGGTAGCACTGCAGTCCTGTCACACACTAGAATATATTATATAGCCTATCTCCTTATAAAGCTGTTCAGAGATAGGTCTAAAAACACTGGGTGGAGGAAAATGTCTGTATTTTCACTAGGAGGCTAGTGGATGGACAGAAGTTTTCACTCTTTCTTAAAGGGGAATTTCAAGGTAATGTGAAAATCTTTGTCTATTTAGTGTTTTTAAGACAATCTGTTTTTCTGTTCTGATTTTCTAGTGAGAAACCCTTTTCTGCAGATACAGCATGTCAACCAGCCTACATTTATTTTTATATTACATGCCACCTTTTTGTTGTATCGATCCATTATTTATTGCCATTTACTGCCAATGTGAATCAAAAACATCAAGTTCTCCTTTTTTATATATAAATATATACAAGACATTAAGATGTTTGAAAAGTATAACAAACTGGATGTTATTTATTAACATATTATGAAATGTTTTGATCAAGTATGTGCTTGTCTATTAAAAACATTTTGGAATGTGAATTATGTTCCTGTGAATGGTTTTACTCCTTTATTTCCACCTGTAGATGCTTATGATGCTGTATATAGATTTAATTAATATAGCAAACATTTTTTGAGATTATACCAATTATTAGCTTAGCGTATCAAATTTATTATTTTTATAAGTCCAGCTAACTCAAGTTTATGTGAAACACAAAGCAATCCTTAAGTTTCATCTTCAGCACCATGAAAAATTAATACAGCTTAAACACCTCCTCTAACTGCTGTGTTTTATGCATGGAGATGAGACCTGCTATGCGATCAAAACGACTGAAACCAGACAAGGTTTCCTCTTCTGTCTTTTTGATGCTATCAGGAAATTACACTTTTATTCAGGTGTACCAAGAGTTCTTTTTTTTCTTTTTGTAAATCTGCAGTAAGCCCATTCAACTGTGAATAGTCTAAAAGATCTGTATATATTAAAAACTTCAAAGAACTCAGTCTATTTGATTTGTATTTATTCTTTGTGGAATAAAAGTTTGAAGATGTGGAAGGATAACAAGATGTACAGGTACACCAAATATGATGACATGGAAATGGTAAATTTGAAACAATTTTCTTTTGAATAAGCAAAAAAATGTCTGTGGTCTGTACAATTTTCTGAATTTATATTCTGGGGAACCTCCAAATGACAGTTCCTTGTTCAATTATTATTTCATGGAATTTTAAAATATATAAAAATGATGCTGTCTTCTATCTACAGCTTTCTTGTGCTTCAACACTTTTTTAAAAAAATCTCTTCCTTATGAAAGAATACCTGCTATTGCCTTTGGATTGCTTGCAGTTCTACCAATATCCTCTGGGTATGAATGGTCAGAGAAGCAATAGACTAAATCGATATAAATGAAGTATCAATTCCTCTTCACAGCGATCTAACTCTTGAATATTATGCTGTGTGCAGAAAAGGGGGAAGTGAATGGACTTTTTTGTTGAAAATTTTGTTGCCACTTTATTTTGTTAGGAGACAAGTTATGCTGATGAAGTGCTTTTCTTATGTAGTTGTGGACATTTGAGGCAGGGAAACATTCACAAATGTATACAATATTCATATTACACCGCTAGTAAAAAAATAAATAAATCCCAGGGTGAAATAGCCATAATGCATGGATGGTACTAAGAAATAGACCAAAAAGTATAAAATGGGCATTTATAATTCAGGGATTTATTCTCTACACTACAGCACCCAATGGTAAGTGGAAGCTTTATAGGGACAAATCTAGACTTGAAATAAGGAGGAATTTCCTGACTCTCAGGCATTAATACATTGAACAATTGAACTGTCTCTTTGAAGTACAGGGTCAGCGGTGGACATTTTAAAGAGATGATCGAACAACTATTTGTCCCACACTGGGTAGGCGGTTGGACGAGTAGACCTCCAAAATCTGTTTCAACTCTATGAGTCTCTGTTTACTGAGACTCATCTGTAATTCAGTTTAACACTTCAAACTGATGGCACTTCCAAATGAAGGTCTTCACACTGCTCCAGAAGTAATAATTTTAATGATTAATGATCATTTTAATGAATTTTAATGACTCTCTGCCCTATCATCCTCTTCATCTGGGAAAAGAATAAACCTCCTCATGCTTTTCTAAGCATTTTGATCATAAGTTAAATTGTTCTTGAGAAATCAAAAGAATAAAAACTGGAATTTCATTTCCTGTGCCATTACAGATTTTTCGGTAATATGTAATATGTTCTAGATCTAGAATATGTTCTAAAAATGCCAAATCATTTCTAAATATCAGCATGCCCACGGGAGAACATAAGATCCGAAGTATTCTCTTGTACGTTAATAAACCCACGAGTGGTTTTTTTTTCCAGACAAGCCTCCCAACCCCTCAGCAAATTATCCCTCCAAACAAATGCTTCTTAAAATTAAAACTGGATGTAAATTTATTTTCCTCGAAAACTCTTGAGATGACAGTAAAGCAAAAATCAGTTCATTTAAGTCCCAAAGGTGCTTTTTCAGGAGATAACTGGACTTTCTGTTTTTTCTTCAGCTCTGGCTGGATAATGGGGAATGAAACCTCCATTCCCCACCATCCAATCAGTGCTGAAGAAGCTTTTTGGATGAGAAGTGAAACATATTGTTGGAAGTTAAAACCCACCCCTCTCCTAGGAAAATGAAATAGTTTAGGATATACTAAAAAGGCAGAATATTTCCCCTAAAAAGAAAAGTAGAAACTCAAAGAGGCAGAAACTCACCCCCCCACCCCACCTTTGCTAATGGGCCATTACTCTGGCCTGGGCCAGTCTATTTTACATAACAAAGATCTACTCCAGGTAGAGCTATAATAGGAATTGCCCAAAAGCTCTTTCATTACATCAACCAAGCCTGGGACTCAGGACAGCCTACAGAGTTGCCCCTGCATGGCCCCAACCAATCAGAATACAAGCTCAAATTCAAATCCCAACAGAGGGCTTAAAACCAAGGGTCTCTAAGCATCTTGCCCCTTCTTTTCCTTCACCCAACATCTTGAAGCATGTGATCATCCTTTTCACTTTGGAGCTCCACGCCATGTGGTCCTGTCCACCGTTAAACCATCTTTCCAAACAGCCTCCATGTTTCCAGTGTCTTTTTCCCTACTTGGAACTGAACCCAGAAGGATATTTCTTCCAACAATCTTCAAAGAAAAACCAGGCCAGTTGCCGCTTGAAAAAGCACCTCAGTCATCCAGGTCACAACCATGACCTTGTCCCCCTGCTCAAGCAGCCCTTATACTATTCCAGACTTTAGTCTTGTCCTCTAAGCAGATGCTAGATCCAAGATGATGGCTGTTAACAGAGCAACCTGCACCGCACAACACTTGGTTCTATACTTTTCATGTATTATTACCGGTTGCATGATTGTTAAGTGTTTGGTACACAAAGCTTTTTCCCCTTTGAGTTCCACAGATCCAAGGTACCAATGAGAAAGTTTACCAAAGGCGTAACTAAGCCACTACAGTAATACCTACACACAAGAATGATAAAATGACCAAAATAAAATAAAATAAATCGTATTTCCTTAGGTAACACAAGCTGTCATGGAGAGCGCGCGAGAGAAACAAATTATATAAGTGGAATTTATTTCTACTTTCTCGAGAAAGAACTTCCTACTGAGATAATTCCTGACTCAAAAACTATGGGGAGGAGGAAAAAAAAAACCACGGTGAGATTTACTCGCAAGCTGGTGCTGTTCGAATACAAAGCAGCCTAGCGGTGAAAGAACCGTGAAAGATCTCACTTGATCGCTCCAGACCCCCGAAGCGGTGGCGCCCCGCCATCTCGGGATGGGTATTTGGGTATTTTTTTTGTTTTGTTTCTGTGAAGCAACTTCTCCCCGTTTCTCCCCTTTTCCGCCCCCTTTTTCCCTCCTCTCCTTGGGAAGGGGCAGGCGTTCGCAGAGGACCACGTGAAGAGAAAAGGCGGAAGAAGTTTCCCTACACTCCGCCTCCTCTGCCTCGAAGTCCGGAAAGCGATCGTGAGAATCGCCCCTTCAAGGAAGGAGGCATGGCGGGGATCAAAGGTACGAGGCATTTCCCCCCCCCACCTTCTCTGTGAGGGATTACCTTGAGGAGGTCGTAGGTTTCCACCTTCTCCTCATAGCGACCGTCGCTGGGGCAACCCGCATCTCTTCTTCCCCCAGAGATCCAAGATCTCTTTCTCTTCCCCATCTTCTCGCCGGTTACTCAGGCTCTCTCAGTAAAGAATGTTTAGTTTGGACGGCTCTTTTCTATTCTGCTGTTGCTAGTGGTGGTGTCGCTTTCTCGTGCACCCTGTCTTGGGGATACCCTCAAGAACATTTCAGTCCTGCAGAAAAAAAGAGATCAAAGGAAACAATGATCCTCCCTTTGTCCTGCTTATTCAGCTGATTCATTGGCAAGTGCAATCTGGACCTCTAGGGTGCCACGCATCTACAAATCATCTTTTGTAGATGATTCCTCCTCTTCGCCTATCCTGTTGAAGCCCATCCCTGACCGCTCTCTTGCCTCATCTCAGCGGATTTTGGTGCATTGCCCTAATAAGTTACTTGAAACCACTAAGACTAGTTTGTCTTATTTCTGTGCCACTTTGTTGAACTGTTTCTGTTCATGGTATAATTAAATATGCAAGCCAAAATCTAAGAACAGAAACTCCCAATCAGGAAGGATATGTTTTTTGCAAGCGTCATCGAAGTTTGCTCCTTTGATAAACGGTAGTAGGTATGGAGGCAGCACTTTTAAGGGAAATATGAAATCATTCTGTATGGTCAAGTTAATGACATCATTTATCTCTTTGTTTAGACCTTCCGTGATTATCCATCGTGCCTTCCGGCCCTGTCCTATTGTCCCCATTTATTTGTACCTATTTCCTGTATTCTTCCTCATGTTTATACTTATACCTATTATCTTGTAAGCAATTGACAAATCAAATAAATAAATAAACAATAAAATTATTTCTAAAGAATGTCAGCAGCCAGTGATTTTTATAATTATATTTATGAGAGTTGCTTTATACAAATTAAACTGAGTGACATTCTTTTTATTTCCACTTTTGCAGCCTTGGTTGGCTTATCATTCACTGGAGTCCTTGGTTTGACATTTCTTATGTTGGGATGTGCCTTAGAAACATATGGGTAAGAACATATTACTTTGAGTGAGACAATATCAGTTCTTTGTTATCAAGTGTGTAAATTCTGAACACATTTAATTGGCATAAAAGTCTATTAATATAGTAGAACAATACAATTTGAGTAGTAATGGTGGGATTAATACTTGGAAACAGTATGAAAAGAGAGGAAAACTGAACTAGCCTGGCAAAAATGTACCAAAAACAGTGGATTGAATAAATGCGTTATGTATGTGGATCAAAAAAATGGGAATTGGGGAAGCAGTACAAAGTGACTTATATGCAGATACTGCTCAACTTAAAACAATTCATTTAGTGACCAACATTACAACGGAACTGAAAAAAGTGACTTAAGATCATTTTTCGCATTTGCAATCATTGCAGCATCCCTACAGTCATTTGATCAAAATTTGGACATTTGCCAAGTGGCATGTGTTTAATGTCAGTTGCAGGGTCCCAAGGTCATGTGATCACCTTTTATGACCTTCTGACAAGCAAAGTCAGTGGAAGCCAGATTCACTTAACAACCATGTTACTAGCTTATCAACTGCAGTGATTCACTTAACAGAGATGGCAAGAAAAGTCATAAAAAGAGGCAAAACTCACTTCACAACTGCCTTGTTTAGCAATGGGAATTTGGGGCTCAATTGTCGTATGTCAAGGCCTACCTGTATTTATCATGTGTGATGAGGTAAATATGTGAATATAGAACAGCTGCATTTTTGTATATGACTAAAAAAGTTGATATTGCATAAGCATTTGTTTTACACTTCCTTAATCTCCTCTTCTTTATCATTCTGCAGTACCTACTGGCCATTATTTGTCTTGATATTTTATGCCATATGCCCTATTCCTCACTTTATTGCAACAAGAGTAAGCGATGATACAGACGCAGCAAGCAGTACATGCAAGGAACTGTCATATTTTTTCACAACTGGAATTGTGGTCTCTGCTTTTGGACTTCCTATCATTCTTGCACGTGTTGAAGTGGTAAGTCCTGTACCAAGACAATGAGAGTTAACATGTATGTCCGCAGAATTCTTGCTGTGTGAAAGGATTCTTAACAAATGATTTCTCTTAATTAGCACCTTTATAACATTGTCATTGAAAAATATACCAGATTCTTGATTATACAATAGGACAGATTCATTCAGGCATTCCCTTCATAAGGGTCAGGAGACATTGCATAAATAATAAAGATTTCATAGTTGCAATTATATTTCTGAGTTCATATATTATGCTAAATTTTAGTTTAACAAATCACAACTTCAACCACAAAGCACAAGCTGTAAATCATGGCTTGGAGGAGATCATGGCTGGGTTTGCGATCAGCCAATCAATACATTTTATTGAGGTCACAGAACAATAGTGAAGATTAATGACATTGCTTCAGGAAATAAGAAAGAAAATAACATCAGTAAGAAAGAAAATAACATAGTATGAACAGGGGGAAAAGGTGACTTTTTATCTTTGTGTACTTTCTGCTGCTTCTTGTAATATTGCCATGTCTGGGAAATCGCCCAACAGAATTGTGTTATTTGTTATTTGAAATTTCATCTGAAAGCAAAAGTTCAGATAAAGTTGTCTAAATTTTTGTATTAAGGAGATGCTGTAGATAATCATTATAGAGTATGCAGTACAGAAAAATGGGTTACTATTTCAATTCTCTCCCATGAATATTTGCTGGGAATTGGGAGAAATTGCTGAAGGGATTATATTAAAAAAATGCAAGAATGAAAATTCTCTGACGCTTTGAAAGAATAAACTGTTTGAGATGTTTTCTGTCTACGGATTAAATTACTAGTTTCTAGTTAGTATATTTGCAGAGATTCTATCTTAATGAGCCAAAACTAAGCCAAAATATGTTTGGCTTAGTGTGATATGTGAATCAACCTGTTTTTCAGCAGTTGAACTCATGCTGGCCCCACCTGTGGCTTATTGAATTTCATTACTTGCTAAAACATATACAGTACCATGACTTGTTGATTATGATTTCCACATTGTGCTAAATTATAATCTAGCACACTATTA